TGAGTAAAGATTATTATCTATTTCTATTCATAACAATATTACATCTAAGACAAAGTCTAATTTATTTTTTTTTGTAAAAATGCCTTTAAAAAGTCGATGCAATATAAGATTGGTAAAAAAATAAAAGTTGATTTTGAAGCTTCAAATGTCCCTTCAATTTCTTTATTCCAATTAAGTTTTTCTTTAGAAGTCATATACATAAATAGAGTTGCAACTTGAGAAAATTTCTTGATAAAGATTCAATATTAATTGGAATTTTTTTAAAAATATTGAATATTTCTTCTTATTTTTTAAATCTTTCAATCTATGATAGTTTAAATTTTTTTAAGATCCATTATGTGGTCATTATTTAAAACGTTGTATCCTAAAAAAATAATTAAATTTTGAAGAATATATACTTCTCTATATTAGTATATAGTCTTATATCTCTAAATTTTTGTAACATATAGTAAAAATAAATTTTATAGTATCATGTATTTTTAGAGTAGATTAAATTGTTGTCTAGATAATAAATAACAAAATCATATGAAAACTCTGAAAAGACAATATTTATTAGATGTTGAAAAATAATTGATGTATTTGTGAGTCCAAAAAGTATAACATTATATTTAAAATACTCATACTTAGTTTGAAATGTTGTCTTCTATTTGTCTTCTTTTTTGATATGTATCAAATTATATGCTCTGTATAGTTTTATTTTTGTATAATTCTTTGCATAATTCAATTGATAAAAAATCTTAATTTTAAGGTAAAAGATATCTATTCTTAATAGTGATCTTATTGAATCCTTGATAATCCATATATATCCATAATGATCTATTTTTTTTCTTTATAAACAAGATAGAAGCTTGTATTGAAGGTTTCAAATGGCATATGAAGTTCTTAGCCATATTTTCATCAATGTATTCTTTGAATGTAGCTAACTTATTATGTGATGAGCTATAGATTGGTCCAAATGGTAGTTGAATTCCTTCTTGAAGATCAATTAAGCAATCATAAGGACAATACTCTTAAAAAATATCTAAATTTTTCTTCTCAAAAATGTCTTAATAATCTTAATATTGGCTTTGAATGCTACTTGGAGTCTTTTCACTAATATAAATATATGTAGTATAAATTTTAAAAAAGTGATCTTTCTTTTATAGCATGTATAAAAGCTTTTATACCTACTAATAAGAATTTGATTGTCTTGGAGTTATGAATTTTTATTTAAATAAAAAATAATTAGATTATATTTTAAAAAATATCAAAGTTATAAGAAATTTAGTCTATTTGAGGATTATACTTTTTTAGCCAAAATAAACCAAAACTAATTAGATTGAAAGAAGATTTGATAATATTATATATTATTAAGCTATTATAATAATTAATTTTTAAATCTAAAAGAATAGTTTTATAAATAAAATTTCTAAAAGACAAAAAATTACTATCTATGACTTCTACATATATTTACTTAATATTCTTAATAAAAAATATTTTTATTTTTTAACTAAATTTGTATGTATAAAACAAGTTAAAGCTCTTGAATTTAACAAAACAAAGGCTATGTAATTTTTTGGTCCTAAACAAACATCTATTATAAAATAAGGTGATTGATTTGAAGAAAAAAATATGATCTTTATTAGATGTTGTATAAAATTCTACTTACATTGTCTATATTCTAACTAAACAAATTTTTTTCTTTGACAACCATACTATTCATTTTGTGGTTATGTTGCTTTTTTGGACAATGTTGAGTAATGTATTAAGATTCTCTACAATATAAACTTAATATTTTTTTTTAACAATATCAAGTTTTTTCTTGCTTAGTGAGAGATTTGAAATATATTGTATCAATTTACATAGGTTCCAGCTTTAATGAATATGTTTTTGAAAACTTAGGAATTATTATCATGACTTAACTTCTTTTTCTCCATCCAAATCTTTGTTCTTGATATCTTTCAAAAAATCAATTATTACATGTAATGGATTGAGTTTGTTTTTAGTATCATCAATGTTAAATCTTTAATATTATCTTTTAATCTATATTAAAATTAATTGATAAGGTCTTAATCATTCAAATCTACATTATTAGCAAGGTTTTGGAATTCAACAATACATATAATAGTTGAATTTGATCATTAATATAAAAATAAAAATTTAATTTATACTATTTTTTTTCAATCATATTTTCTAGGTATGACTATAAACACTTCTAAGAATGAATTTAAATCATGTTAGAATCATGAATCCTTTCTGATCAAAGGTGAAAATTAAAAAAATAAAAAATAAAATAAAATAAATAGAGTGTTTATAAATCCAACTTCGATAAATCTATTAGAATATTGAAAAGGATGCAACCTTAAATAGAACTTGATTTGTTGTAGAAATCCTTTAGAATTTTAATTTTTAAAAATTCACAAGTCAAATTAAAAGAGCATAATCTATAACCTCTAATATTAAATAAAAATTTCATAATAAAGAATTGTTAGGTCTTTTTAAGAAAAAAAATCAATGTTAAAAAATAAAAAATATTAGTTTGAAGGTGAGTAGTCTACAACCTTCAAAACACAATAAAAGAATTGAACACAATAAAAAAATTGAGGTAATCTACTTACTTCTAGAATAAAACAAGAATAATGAATTAGTATTCTTATCAAACTATTATCTACTTACTTCTACTTATTATAAACATGTATGTTTGTGATACATATATATACTATTAATAGATATTTTATACTAAGATCTTAGAATATTTTAATTAAATTTTATAAATATTTAGCAATTAGATTATTCAAATTTTTTATACAGCTTGTTATTAGAAATATTAAATTAATAAATTCTTTAATTAATCTTATTAAAGACTTAATTAATATTTAGACTTATATTTAGAATATTTTATTATTACAAAATATACAATAAATATTTTAACTATAATTTCTTGTATATATATATATATATATAGTTATATATATCTTATTTGAAATCATAACTTGAAATTATAATTATTAGGCAAGAATAGTTTCTTTTAGAAGAAAAAAATTAAAATAATTTTGGTTTAAGTTTTTAATTTAAATATATATATTAATATATTTCATAATAAAATTTTAATGATCTCTATAATTGCATCATAATTTTGATTCTTAATAAATTCTAATACTTTATTATAATTTAGATATCTTTAAAAATAATTTAAATATTTTATTAGTCATAAATACGAATTTATTTCCATAATATTAATTATAATACTTTTTATATAATATCAGAAAAAAAATATTTTATTATATTATTACCAATTAGTTTTTTACTATACTTATAATAGTATTATTTTTATTTTATAATGTAAATAAATATTATATCATTATTGATATATTATATAGTATCAATAAAAAATTATTAACTTTTATGGTATATTATAAGTATATTATAAGTAAATTTTTTTGTTCACTTAATACTACTTAATTTTATTATTCATTCAAGATTAAATCAACATATTAAAATTTAATACAACTTATTATATTCTTATCAAAATTTTAATTTTAAATACTATTATTCATATATTTTTTAATGCATTAGGATATAAATTTGCTTATCTAGAGATATTTGACAAAATTAAAGCTATTAATTTTTATATATAAGATTAAAATCTAAAATCCTTGAAAAAAAATGAATACCTTAAGTACTTAAACATTATCCATAATCAAAAATAAATAAATAAATCAATATCATGGTTTATAATTATGTATATTCTAACAATTTATTTATAAATTAATATAATATTGAATTTATGAAAACTAATAGAAAAATATGATGTTAGTGATGAAAATCAAATCATATATTTTGGATCATGCATTATGTATTATTAAATTTAGTGCATAAATTTAAAGTACATAAAAATTTACTTATGTTACCATTAAGTCAATTAATTTAAAATTAGTCATAGTATATATCATATTGAATAAGAAGAATACAACAAAATTGATCCATCACTATTTTAAATCAAAAACCACAAAAACTCACACATGAACCATATTGGATGCAACCAAACCACATACTCAAACTAACAAACAAAAAATTTAAAAGTCCATTACGACAAAGAAAGAAGAAATCTACAACAACAACAACAAAAAAATGAGTTAACAATCTACTTTCAAACACTATTCTTCCAGTCTCAAAAACTTTTATGACATCTAAACAACAATCCATAAATTGATACAACCCAACAAAACATATCCTCAGTACAAAAAGGATTCTTTGTTAAGCCAAAACACTCGCCCCTATATTTGATGCAACCAAAATAATGGATGAAAAACAAATGATAAAACCACTTATTATGATCACAGTGAAAAAGAACTTGCCGTCCATTTACAAGGGCATGCATGCAAGTGGAATGAATAAAGCGGGTAATGGAGGAGGGACAAGGAGCCCCCTCCCTTCTGGGGCCATGATTGGAGGGGGGGAGGGGGTAATAGGGACAAACCTGCCTCCCTTCCCTTCATCCCAGTGGCCCTTCAGATATTTTCATTTGTGCCTGCCTTGCCTTAAATTAGGCTTTCATCAGAGGAATTCCAATTTGACCATTCTGGGGCACCAAGTGGGAACCAAACGGGGTGGGGGGATTCGCATGGTTCACCCTGGAAAAAGCAGCAGCAAAAGAAGAAGCAACATGAAGAAGAAGCCTGCGGTGCTACCAACCAACCAACCGCGCGGGAGGTGGGGGGCAGTAGGTGTTCTTTTTTAACTTTTTCGCAGGGAGGGAGAACTAGGCATAGTGCGGCGCTGTGCATGAAGAAGCAAGCAATGAAGCAAGGAAGGCAGGGCAGGGCAGGGCAGATCAGGTCAGACCAGACCCCGTTTGACTGCTTCCTCCCCGCGACGAGGTGGGCGTCGCTTGCTCGCGGTGGGTGGGTGGGTTGTCCACGGAGAAAGGCCCCCTTTCCAAATGTGAAAGAAGGAAGAAGGTAATCAAGGTGCCGCGGTGAAAGAGTGAGTGAGTGAGTGGGTCAGTCACCATTGCTGGTTGATTTTTGTAGCTAGCTAGCTAGCTCAACAATGCCACTGCTGCTTCAGCTGGACCCCCTTGTGTACTTAAGCTGTCGCGGTGCGGGCTGTTGTCTGCTGAAAGCAAAGCAGTTCGTGTGATCGGTGGCAGGGAGGGGGAAGGGAAGGCCGGAGCGAGCGATCGATTTGATTGCGCCATGGTTGTATGATACACTCTGAGAGTATCTGAGAGTATCTCCTCGTGGTGGTGGTGGTGGAGCTTTTTGAGCTGCATCGCCATGGCGCGGTCGTTGTTGACTCTCTGTATCGTCCTTCAGCTAGTTGCTTGCATTGTAACAGGTTGAGTTTTTCTGTACCGATGTGTGAGGAGTGAGTGGTCGGTTGTGCTCTGTAGCTGGATCGAGGATTGGTGTGGAGTGAAATTTTGGAGTTTTGTGATTGGTGATGAACAGTGGGTGATTATGACGGTTGTGTATGTGTTTTCGTTTTATGATTTCTTTTTTTTGTATTTAGTTTAGTTTTGTTGATTTTTGATTGCGATGCTCAGGTGCAGAGGGGGTTACCTTCACCTTTATCAATCACTGTAAATTCACGGTGTGGGTGGGAGTGCAGCCCAATGGAGGGCTACCTCTGCTGGTCGGCGGTGGATTTGAGTTGGCTGCCGGCAAGCAAGATGCGGTGACTGCGTCGGCAAGCTGGGGCGGGCGATTTTGGGGACGCACTGGTATTTCTCAATTCTATGAAAAGCGAGTAGGATTCTATCGATGGACTGCATGGAATGTTGTAATCAACTCATATATTCGGCTGTTCGCGATCTTATTGTTACGGTTGGCATTGGCTTCAGGCTGCAAATTCGATAGTGCCGGGAAGGGGAATTGTGAAACTGGAGATTGCGGGGGCGTGCTCAAATGCGGTGGTGCTGGCGGCAACCCTCCTGCGTCCTTGGCGGAAATCACACTTAATGGCGCCGACGGCAATGATTTCTACGACATTAGCTTGGTCGATGGCTACAATCTGCCTCTTTCAATGGCGCCTTCCGGGGGAACTGGGAAGTGCGGCGCCCCTGGATGCATCAGCAACTTGAACGATAATTGCCCCGCAGCTCTTCAGGTGTGTGGATTGGTTACGAAGGCATTTTCGGTTAAGTCATCGCAGTCGTCTCACTTGCGTATATCTCCGTGTCAGTCACTATCGAAGATTCTGTTCGCGATACTACCGTCGTAGGGTCGATAACTATTGTGGCCATGAAAACATCTCCAATTCACAAGCATGATGCTCTTTGAGCTTCGTGGTCACTTCTGGAACTTGGAGAAGTGAAGAATTCGCAGCCCGTGCAGAAGTTTCAATTTTCTTGAGATTCCGGATAGATTTTGTATATAAAACTATTTCCGCTCTTTACCTCTGTGAACAGGCATTTTAGAGGCGATAACTGAAGAAACGTGCTGTCGTTCTGAATGTGGGTATTTGTAATGTTGTGAAGTTTCTCGCAGAAGGTGTGCTGGTTGGTTGCAACAGTGCGTGCAATGCGTTCAACACGCCCGAGTACTGTTGCACCGGAGCGTTTGGTGGACCAACCACCTGCCCTCCAACCCAATATTCGATGGCGTTCAAATCTGCATGCCCGACGGCTTACAGTTATGCATACGACGACGCCACGAGCACTTTCACATGTAAAGGAGCGAATTACGCCATCACTTTCTGCCCTACCGGTATTTTTATTCCCGACCTCGCGTGCACTATGAAGCAGTAGGAGTCACAGTGATGTACTTCGGATCCTCAATAGATGTGGACCTCCGGCGGAACCGAATTTGCTTCGTCTGTTCTTTTGTAACGCATGAGCTCCTCGAGTTGCTCCTTTCCTGATCATTCAAAACAATGGAACAGTTTAAGTGGAGTGATTATTGAGAGAAAGGTTGCACATTAACTATGCTTACAAGTAGATCCAGGTTGAGATTGTTTCTAGAATCCTGACGCGGGTTGATGAGAGACTGATCCTTGTGACAATCTAATGATCTAGTGTCTGCTTGCATGATTCTTATCCTGCGGTGATGATGATGTTGTTGGCTGGATTATAGTAACACCGGTGGCAAAAGTAACTAGTAACACCACCACCCCATCACTTCCGAACGGAGTTCCCGGCAGTCCTGGCATTGACCAGTATGGTACAGGCACTGGTGCAGGGAATCGTCATTCGGCTCATGTTGTGTACATTTTGCTACTAAGCATCGCAGCATTCTTCGCATTGCTCGGTAAGAAGCAGCAGTGGTTTAATCCGTCATCTGAGATCATAAATGTGGCATTGCTTGAAAGACTTTAAGTTTCCATTGTATGTAGAGTGACATCTTCGATGTTAGAACGATTCGAACGCGAGTAATATTACAACTGACATGTGCCGCCTGTGTGCAGGATAATGATGGTAACTCAACGTAATGTTGGTAGTTCCTTTTTTGCTTGAAGCATTTACCAAGAACACATACTCAGCATCAGATGTGGACCTGGACTGGGCAAGCTACAAACGAAGCAGAATTCACGTTTGAAGGGGTTTCCGAACTGGCGAACTAATCCTCATTTCGCCCTCAAGACACGGATAATGTGGGAGAATAAAAAATAAAGTAAAAAATAAAAAATAAAAAAGAGAGAGAAGAGAAGAAGAAGAAGAAGAAGAAGAAGAAGCTTATACATCATCTATTAAACTTGCTTAAACATCATCTAGCAAATCACTTAAACCGTAGAATGTTAAAATACATAGTTTTGGGTTTCAGTTACATATGAAAACACCGTCTCAGTTCGCAGAATCGGCATTTTATGCCGTCCCTTGCTGCGACGACCAGCCGAGCTTCGCATTTACTCAGTGCACACATCGTTTCGGAAATAGTTAACAAGAAAATTTTGATGCCTTGTAGGACAATCAAAGGTGTCGATGTGTAAGGGAACCAGATGCCCAGAGAGATGCACCAAATATAGAGGAGTCTATCTGGAATCGTAGGATCACAAGGTGTAGCAACTCAAGTTGCTGTGCGAGAGAGAGAGAGAGGACGACGATGCATGGTGGCATTTGGGAACTGTTGCCAAACCACAATCAATCAACGAAGAAACAATCTTGATCCTTGCAATATATCCCTGGAAACACGCATCTCTGTGCTTGCCTTATTCGCACCCATTTGTTGCAATCGAGAGTATTGTCCAAATCACGCACAACAAAATATTCTTGTAACAATACTGATTGCATGACTTTCATCTTTGTCACCCAACTGATTAGGCATGTGACGACAGCTTCAAGTCTGTGAGTCAACCCGGTGGCCCCCGATTCAGCCGAACACAATTGTGTATGTTCTTCTCTAGCGCTGCATAAACGGTGTTTGTGTTGACACCCTTATTGATTTCCAGTTATAACCTCCACCCTCATTTTGTTAGCAGCCCATGCTCACATCTGTTAGGGTATCATCCACACCTTAAAACATTGTTCCATTACTGCACATTACTACGTGGCCCTAATAGACTTAGTATATATCTATGTTATTCACCTTCCATGAATACAGTACTGAGTTACATATTTCTATTTTTGAACGTCCAACATGGTATCAAAGTCGAATCATTACGATGTTCCTCTTTCTTGCTGGTCTGTAGCGTAGTCTCTTTTGTCCGTAGTGACATGTACTCCTCTGACTCAAAGGCCACAAGTACACGTACAGAATTCGCTAGGAACCATGGACCACACTAGCACTCCAGTACAATCTGCGCAAGCTGCACCTAGTTCTTCGCAGATCACAACCTATGTCACTAATTACACTACTATTTCCGAAGCCTATCATCTTGTAGGATTAGAAAACTATGGCATATGGGCTTTTAGAATGCGAAACATCCTGAAGAGAAACAGATTATTTTGATATTGTATCATACCTCCAACTGATCACATGGAAACCAAGGCAGAGAGCAGGCTATGAGTCCCCTCAACAACAGCGTGAAGAACGGAGCAGCAGTCAAACTACTTCGACATTATGATGAATCACATGAGTGTTAGACATCATTAAAACAACGCTACAAATCAGACAACTCTAGAAAGGTATCTCTACTTGAAAAGTTCTTCAGCATTATGAAACATGCTACCATAGATGAATATTTGACTGACATGAAAGAAGCGGCTGATTTATTAGAAGACGTAGATGTACCGTTGCCTGAAGCCATTGTAGTCTACTACACTCTACAAAACCTTCTAAAAGAATACAATGTAACCAAACAGATCATATATGACGAGAAGAAACTACCCACCTACTTGGAACTTGAAGGCAGACTGCTAGGAGAAGAGATATAGAAGAAACTCAAATACAGCACCAAACGTGAAGGTGAAGCCCTCCTCGCCTTCTGCAACAATTTTAGGATACCATTCAGCAAAGAACCTCGCTTGTATAGTTATTAGCATGGCACACACAAAGTCAATCCTTCGCAAGGATATGGAAATTACCACAACCATGGGTATTTTGGCTCGAGAGGAACAACGCACCAAGGCACAAGTCGATATCATCGATCACATCACTGAGGAGGAGATCGCACACAACAGCACAAGCGCACTCATCAGAACCATCGCCCATACAATATTAGGAACATGCAGTCTCAACAATATTGACACACTTACAAAGCAAGCAGAGACAAACACACTGAACCACCTCAACAGGATAATACAATGGAAGGAGAGATAAAAATGCTCCTTGAGCGCGTACACGACATGGAGTCTAGACTTCACCATACCAGCGATCGCACCCGACAATCGGCTCACGCACATAGCATCAAAACGGAGCATGACAATGAAGCACCGGAAACATACGATCCATACAAAGATCCCTACACCAATGACAAGGAACCGACGTCCCAAGAGGTAAATGCTTACATAGCTGAAGTTGGTGACATCCAGTCAACCGTTGCAAACTCTCCTTGGAACCTAGATTTGGGAGCATTGAACCATATATGATGTGATGCTTCCGTTTTTTCTTCACTTACACCTAGTTCTCGAATCCGTATCACCTCTGCCAACGGGCAAAGACATATTGTAGAAGGTATAAGGAATGTTGCAATACGTCTTCCCAGTGGAGAAATACTACATATTAACAAGGTTCCTTACTCCCCGGGCACACCAAAACTACGAATCTTTTTCACTTCTTATGTACTTGAATTGGTCCATACCAATATCGCTGGACCTTTTTGAATCAAGTCGCTCAGTAGAGAATTATATTATTTCTTGTTCGTAGACAACTACTCCAAAAAAACCTGCATCTAATTTCTATCCTACAACAGAAACTATCTGGCGCATTTCAAAAAATTGATCCGACTCAGATTCGACAATAGAGGTGAATTCACATCCTTTGCATTTCAATCTTTTTGCATCTTTAGTCTTGTTTCAAGACTTATTAATTTTCTTGTCTTTGATAATAGCTATTTTAATTCAATATATTACTATCTTTAAATAATTTCTATTCTTTTCAAGTGACACAAGAGTGTATTGTTATTTTAATTTTTTGACATTCATGTCTTTGATAGTTTGACAATAGTGCAACTTATTTTTTTTCTCTTATTTTAGAAGTGAGTAGATTACTTCACTTTTATTGTTGTATTTTAAAGATTATAGATTATCCACCTTTAAACAAATTTTTTAATTTTCTAAAACCAATTTTTTTCCTTAAAGAGAGTAGATTACTCTTCTTTGTAGAAATTTTCATTCAATATTAGAGGTTGTAGATTACCCTCTTCTAATTTGACTTGTGAATTTATTAAGTTATTTGAAATAGAAGAAAAAATTATAGATGCTACACTTGGTAGAAGTGAGAATAGATTTATAACTATTGTAGAACATTACAAATTTAACAAAAATTTTAGAGTAGAATTTTTATGCATCACTAGTTCCAACCATGGAAATACAAATCCTATGCCTATGGAAGAAGTTTAGAATCTATAGTAGGAAGTTGTGAAGTTGAAGGAAGCAAGTAGATTGACCTTACAACTAAATCTAAAATATTTCACTTCTACAAATACAATAGAGACACAAATTAGTATGTCCAATAAGTTTGATAGAATAAGATCAAAATTTCAAGGATTTCTACAACAAATCAAGTTCTATCTAAGATTGCATCTTTTCTAATATCCTAATGGATTTACTCAAGTTGATTTATAGGTGCACTTCTATTTCGAAGTATTCTTTTTTGATTTGTATCATTAATAAAAAAAGATTCATGAATTCTTTATGATTTGAATTCATTCTTAGAAGTATTTACAGCTACATTTGGAAAAAGTGATCGAAAAAGAGTAGCAAAGATCAAGCTCTCATCTTTACAACAAGGATCACAGTTAGCTATCATATATACTACTAAATTCCAAAACCTCACTTGTAACTATTGAAGAAAAGAAGTCTAAAAGCTACAAACACTTATCATCAGCAAGGATTGTACTCTAAGAGAAGTGTGGAGAAAGATAATTCTTACTTCCAACACCTTTTACTTATATGTAGTGGTTTCTTTACCAATAAGGTAACTTCCATCATTATGATATTACATCCATTTCTATTTCATCCAACTAAATCCTAGATGTTAGTATAATAACTTATTTTAACTCTTTGCTACCTTTTGACTATTAACAAAATATTATGCTTAATCTCTATGTAGTTGTAACTAAGAAAGTACTTGTTGATCTTCAACACTCCCACGTTGCTAATTTTCAAAAGGCTTTCAATCCTAATCTTTGTATCAACTCGTGATGTCTATCCTTCACTAATGCCTTTGTAAGAACATCAGCAAGCGTGTCATTTGTAGTACAATATTTCATACCTATTATTCCATCTTCAATCTTCTCTTATATGAAATGATGTTGAATATCAATGTGCTTGGTCCTTGAATGGTATTTATTTTTATTTATTTATTTTTTTTTTTCTGATTTTTGGTAAATGCAAGATATCCTTCATTGTCACACATAATTAGAGTTGCTTCTAATTGCACTAGTTCAATGTCTTCCAAGAGTTTCCTTATCCAACACACTTCCATTACACAATGACTTACTACCATGTACTCTACCTGTATCGTTGATCTTGCAATGGTAGGTTGTCTCTTGCAATTCCATGAAATAGCTCCCACTCCAATGAAGAAGACATACTCTATTGTAGAACTTCTATCATTTACATCTCTAGCCCAAACCGCATCACAGTAACCTTGTAAATCAATGTTTTTACCACCAAGGTACAATTTGAAGTCTTTTGTACTTTTTAAGTACTTCAATATTCTCTTTACTGTCGTCCAATGCAATGGTCCAGCTTTAGACATGTGTTAGCTTGTGCCTTACCACCACACCCATTGCATCTCTTTTAGTCCTAAATACCCACTTACAACCAATAATAGATCAATTTGTTGGAAGAGATGTCAATTCCTATTATCCATAAGAGATTGGTACTCTTCTTCTATAGTCTTCTCCCACTTGATTGCATCTTGGGACTTCAATGCATCACACAAAGATAATGGATCAGCAAGAAGAGCAACATTTGCATATTCTTCACTTACTTGAAGAAAGATGTGATCCTTCTACCATTCACGACGTTGCCTTCTTTCTCTCAAAGGATATCTCCTTTCATTTCTTGAAGAAGATTCATCTTGTTGTACTCCATGTTCTTTTCCAACCTTCTTCTTTCTTAAACCTTGTCATTTCTCACTCAATGATTGGTATTTCTCATCATCATCATCATCATCATAATCTTCAACATCTTCATTTCCTTCATTGCTGTTCCTAGCAATTTTAGGAGCCTTCATCTTTTCAATCTTCTTCGGCTTTTCAACTTCATCATCTTCATTATTTTCATCTTATTGTTTCTTTACTAAATTCAAAGATGTATCCATAAATACACCATTATTCCCACTTGGACACATCTCCAAGTGCTCATAAGCATTCTTGTGCTCTAAAAACTCAACATCACGACTTTTGATGATATTCTTGGTTTCCAAGTATATTAGCCTATATGCCTTAGTACCTTTACAATAACCAAGAAATACACACTTTGTACCTTTTGCATCAAGTTTGAATCTCATACAATCTAGTGTTTTTGCATATGCAATGCAATCAAAGATTTTCATATGGAAAATACAAGGTTGTTTCCTATTCCAAGCTTCTTGTGGTGTCATTTATGT